CACACACACACACACAAAAACTTTTTTGTTTCCCAAACTTACAAACCACTGCATCTATAAATTGTTTCAGCACAAAAGCACAAGATAACGATATAAAGGCGCTCCCGATGCATCATATCTTATGGTTGTATCATCTGCCTTAAATAGAAATCTCTATGGGATGCTTTCAATGGTATGTATCTATTTGTTGAGTCGATGAGCTTTTGTTGCCATGCATAATGTGATCAATCTGTGGCATATTCATATTTACACGCCGAAAGATTGTTACGACTGACCTTTGTTGTCTACTTTTCCTCGTCATGGTTGATTTCAACTCTCTCGCACTATTTTGTTGTCAAACTTACAAAATCATGCATCCATTTAAGCACAAAAGCACAAGATAAGGCAGAATGGCACTCTCAATGCATCATCATGAGGTTTTTCTTCACCAATTATTTTATGGTCATCAGGCTTGTTTTCAACTATCTCTCTCTCTCTCTCTCTCTCTCTCTCTCATTTTTTTGTTTCCCAAACTTATAACCATCTACATCTATTTAAGCAAAAAGTAGGAGGTAAGGATAGAAGGCCACTCTCGATGCATCATATACCAAGGTTCTATCACGTGCATTTAAATGGAACTTTTGCTGTGATGCTTTCAATGGTATGTATGCATCTTTTTGTTGTGTGCCGATGAGCTTTTGATGTCGCGCATAACGTGATTGCTCCATGGCATATTTGGCTTTATGCGTCGAAAGTGTGTTACGACCGATCTTGTGTTGGAATCACCAGTTGTAGATGACCCACTAATTGGTGGTACCACCGTCTCTCACGACTATGTCAGTAGCAGTCATCTTTCTTCGAAAGGACCCATGAACAAACTAAAGATCACAAGACATATATTAGAATTACAGACAAGTCTTTCGAACATGCACGTAGAACCACAGACAAAATTGTTAAAATGTAGGCGGGTCCAGGTATTGCAGCCAACCATGCCAACCTCAGTGACACCGGTTGACTTGAGCTTGCCACACACATCTAGACCAACCCTCAATATGCCAACCCTAGCCAACCGAGAAAGAAGTGGCAATTGTAGGAAGGAGGTTGGGGCCTCCCAGAGTTGGATGCCGAGTAAGAGGAGAAGGGTGCCGACGACCAACCCTCGCAGTTGCAGACGCACATGTGATGGTTGAATCTGCAGCTTTGGTGAGTAGGCTTGGCGTTGTGCATATCGATGAAGAAGGAACATCCCGCCGACGACTTGAATTACATGTAGTACACCATATCGATGAAGGATTAGTGCCGTTGCCCCTCCTTTTTGTGAAACAAGGACGACGAGAGAAAAGAGAGGTCAGCACATGTTTGAGGTCTGGCGGTGATCCAACAAGTTTTATTGAAGGAGGTGGCTCTATTGACTCACCTCCGGCAGCTAGGTGGAAGATAGCCAAGAGTAGAGGAGAGCTTCAGTCATCGACCACCAACAGTGGAGGTGGGATAAATTTCAGATATTACTTTTT